AAAAAAAAAAAAAAAAAAGAATTTGTTATTTAACCAAATTATATTGATCTTATAGTACATTTATACTAAATGAATATTAGTACAAATGATTTCAAAAACTGACAATATGTAATATAAACTTAAATTTATTTACAAACTTAAAATTATATGCCATACCTATATATAAAAATATATATACAAATATAATTTGGCTAATTCATACTTTAAATGATAACTCACCTGCAAAGTCTGAAGTGGTTCACTTAGTTCAACTTTATCTTCTTTTAGTATCTTAGGAATAGAATATTAATATAAGTTAAACCAATAAGCAATAATAATTTAGAAAATAAAAATATAAATTTCTATTAGACTTAAGGAATACTAGAACACCATCACTAATATGAAATAAAAACTGGCCAGGCATTGTGCTCACACCTGTAATCCCAACACTTTGGAGGCTGGGACTGGAGGATTGCTTGAGCCCATGAATTTGAGACCAGCCTGGGCAACATAGTGAAACCCCATCTGTGTGGTGGCATGCACCTGTAGTCCCAGTTACGCAGGGGGCTGAGGCAGGAGTATCACTTGAGCCCAGGAGGTCAAGGGTGCAGGAGCCAATCACACTACTGCAGTCCAGCTTGGGCAACAGAGAAATATCCTGTCTCAGAAAAAAATAAATAAAAACTAAAATCCTAATGAAACAGTACTGTCACTTAGCAAGAATTTAAAAAGCTCTCAGCAGTACTAGTAAAATTGAAGTAAAATAAATATTCTAATTGTAAAACATTAAAATTTTTATATTTGAAAATATCATGGCCAGGCATGGTGGCTAATGCCTGTAATCCCACTCTGGGAGGCCGAGGCGGGTGAATCGCCTAAGATCAGGAGTTTGAGACCAGCCTGGCCAACACAGAGAAACCCCATCTCTACTAAAAATACAAAACTTAGCTGCACATGGTGGCATGTGCCGGTTGTGTCAGGTACTCAGGAGGCTGAGGCAGGAGAATCACTTGAATCCAGGAGGCGGAGGCTGCAGACAGCCAAGATTGCACCACTGTACTCCAGCCTGGGCAACAGAGTGAAACTCCGTTTCAAAAAAAAAAGAAAATATCAAGAACCTAAGAAAGACAGTTGTTCCTAGCCTTCTAAATAATTAGTTCTACTTCTGGAATCAAATCTAAGGAAAAAACTTAAAATTCAATGATTTATGTGCAAAAACATTTATTAAAGTGTTACTTATGATAGCAAAATGCTGAAAATTATTTAAATGACCAAAATAGAGAACTGTTTGTCCAAAGCACAAGAAAGCCATAGGATGGATGGTAAATAACCTTTAAAACGTATGTTTAAGAAGAATTATTAATAACGTGAGATAATACAATGATATTAAGGGGAAAGGATATAAAGCTATTTATACACAACAATCTAACCATATTTTTTTAACTGCGCACACACAAAAAAATCTGGAAACATTAATAAAAATTCTGAGAGGTAGGGTACGTTTTTTCCTGTTTTCTATATTTAGAAAAAAAAGAAAAAAAATCAAGATTATTAAAAGGAGGGAAGAAAGGACCAGTAACATAGAAAATAAAGTACGACATAAAATGGAGGCAAGTGAGGCCGGACATGGTGGCTCATGCCTGTAATCCCAGTACTTTGGGAGGCTGAGGCAGGCAGATCACCCGAGGTCAGGAGTTGGAGACCAGCCTGACCAACGTGGTGAAACCCCATCTTTACTGAAAATACAAAAATTAGCCAGGCATGGTAGCACATGCCTGTAATCCCAGCTACTCGGGAGGCTAAGGCAGAAGCATCACTTGAACCTGGGAGATGGAGGCTGCAGTGAGCCAAGATCGTGCCACTGCACTCCAGCCTGGCGAAAGAGCAAGACTCTGTCTCAAAAAATAATAATAATAATAAAAAATAAAATGGAGTGAAACATTCTACTTGCTTTTTTTCCAAATATGCCTGTAGAAGTGACCCTTCTAAAGTACTAACGACATCCCCACTGAGAAACACTAATCTAGATGATTTATCCTAGAATTTCAATTCATCCTAATTAGAACTTTTTTTTTTTCTTTTTTTGAGACAGAGTCTCACTCTGTCACCAGACTGGAGTGCAGTGGTGCAATCTCGGCTCACTGCAACCTCCGCCTCCCATGTTCAAGTGATTCTCCTGCCCCAGCCTCCCAAGTAAGCTGGTATTACAGGTATGCACCACCACACCCAGCTAATTTTGTATTTTTAGTAGAGACGGGTTTATCCATTTTGGTCAAGCTGGTCTCAAACTCCCCACCTCAGGTGATTCGCCCACCTCGGCCTCCCAAAGTGCTGGGATTACAGACATAAGCCACCTCACCCAGCCCTAGAACCATTATTTTTTATATAACTAATGTGGTTTGGTTCCCAAACTGCACTATAAGGTACTCTGGGGTGGCACAATGAACTCACAGGAACTCCACAAGATGTTTTACATGTAGGGAAACAGTGTCACTTGGCGTTTGTCTGACACTGAATCAACTACTAGCTCCAGGTCTATTTCAACATCAGTTCTTGCTACATATCCTTCAATGACATCATGTCTTTGTGAAGTTGGATTCTGAGAAACTGCTATGATAAAAAGCAATTACCATGAAAAAATCAATGTGTAACAAGAAATAAGGTGGTGTTACCTAATCTATTCCAAGATTTAAAAAGTTGTATAGTGCTCAACAGAGGTACATATTCCATTAGTAATATGTGGTGTTTTTTTTTTTGGTTATGTACATATATATATATATATATATATTTTTTTTTTTTCCTTTTTATTGCACTTTAGGTTCTGGGGTACATGTGCAGAACATGCAGGATTGTTCCATAGGTACATGCATAGCAATGTGGTTTCTGCCTCCATTCCCCTGTAACCTATATCTGGCATGTCTCCCCATGTTATCCCTCCCCAATCTCTCTACCCCTGACTGTCCCTCTCCTATTCCCCCGGCAACAGACCCCAGTGTGTGATGCTCCCCTCCCTGTGTCCATGTGTTCTCATTGTTCAACACCTGCCTATGAATGAGAACATGCAGTGTTCGATTTTCTGTTCTTGTGTCAGTTTGCTGAGAATAATGGTTTCCAGATTCATCCATGTCCCTACAAAGGACACAAACTCATCATTTTTTATGGCTGCATAGTATTTCATGGTGTATATGTGCCACATTTTCCTTGTCCAGTCTATCATCGATGGGCATTTGGGTTGGTTCCAGGTCTTTGCTATTGTAAACAGTGCCGCAATGAACATAAGTGTGCATATGTCTTTATAACAGAACGATTTATAATCCTTTGGATATATACCCAGTAACGGGATTACTGGGTCAAATGGAATTTCTATTTCTAGGTCCTTGAGGAATCACCACACTGTCTTCCACAATGGTTGAACTAATTTACACTCCCACCAATAGTGTAAAAGTGATCCAGTAACAGTGCTTTTTAATATACAAAATGCTTACAAAGTTACTAGGAAATAAGTTACTTAATACTACTAACTACATAATAAATGAAACTGTTAGGTATTCCTTTTGGCTGATGGATGCAATGAAAAATTTCTACGATACAGTAGGGGTCATGAACCAAGATAGCTTGGGACTGTATTACTATAATCCTATTACAAATTATAGAACATTCATATCAAAATAAAAGAACATACTCTTAGAAAAAAAACCTGTACCTGTTGAGAATCCTTGTGCAGATGAGGAGACTTTCGTGAAGCTACTGTAGTAAATGGTTTCCTCACTGTAACGGTGAAAAGAAATGATCATGTCATTTTTACATATAGCAGTACTCTAAAATTTAACTTATTCCTAAAACCGAGACAAGGAATATAACTTAAACTTTGGTAATTGTTTAATCTGGAATGTAGTTATTTGAGGATTCACTGTACTGTTCTGTTTAGATTAAAACATTTTTATGATAAAAATTTAAAAATCTTTAGAATAAAAGCCCTTTTGTTTACTTTCTAAGTCAACGGTAGGAATTTTCCTTGTATTCCTTTTTTATACTAATTAAAAAATAAATACTAAACCATTAGTTATTAACCTATACAAAAAATGCTAAAAATGAAGTACTGGACAACTGTTCGGAACAAGAAAGTCAAGACTCCCAGTATACTGTTGCTATGTGCAACCACAGAAAAGAAAAGCAAGGTCAGGCATGACAGCTCATTCCTGTAATCCCAGAACTTTGGGAGGCCAAGGCAGGCAGATCACTTAAGCCCAGGAGTTCAAGCCAGCCTGGCCAATATGGCAAGACCTTGTCTCTACTAAAAATACAAAAATTAACCAGGCATGGTGGTGCACAACTGTAATCTCAGCTACTTGGAAGGCAGAGGCAGAAGAATCACTTGAACTCAGGAGGTGGAGGTTGCAGTGAGCCAAGATGGCACCACTGCACTCCAGCCTGGCTGACAGAGTAAGAGTATGTCTACAAAAAAAAGAAAAAAAGAAAAGAAAAAGAAAAACAGCACTTTGTGGTATTTCTAGTCT